TCAGAGCTGCCTTTCAGGGACAGACAACACTAGCTTGTGCATCCTCGGCAGGTCTCTGCAGAGGTCCTCTGCCACAAGCTGGCCTCAAGGAAGGAGCCCAGGCAGAGGTGCCAAACTTGGGAAGAAATCCCAAACCCCTGAGATTAACTCTGTGCCGGACAGTCATGCCCTCGGGTCAGGCTGACCCCAGCCTCAGCTAATCTCTTGGTGGCTGCTAACCAAGGATCCAATCTGTGCCCCTGAATTGAAAGTAGAGTCTTGGACACTGGACCACCAGGGAAGTCCCCCCTTCCGCATCAGAGCCGAGAAAGAGCTAGGCCCTGAGTGGCACTCACTAAATGTCTGCAGAAGTGGCGGTCTAATGGTTAAGACTTTGTGCTTCCAATGCAGGGGGCATGGGTTGGATCCCTGGCCAGGGAATTCAGGTCCCACATGCTGTGTGGCACGGCCAAAAAAGAAAATGGGGGAAAAAAGTCTGCTGGAGTGAACAGCTGCAGAAGGCATGAGATCATATCTACCAATGTGCGTGTAGATATGTGTTAACTGCAAGAGGGAAAATAACTGAAGGAGTGATTGTGTGCCTAAAGCTGTCCTCCTGTCCCCAAATGCACTCATCCCCTCACTGGGCTGTTTTCTGAGAGCAAGTGATTACTCATCTCTGAGTTTAAGCATAATGTCTAACCCAGAGTAGATGTATAATCAATGTCTACTGAATTTTTGAAAAATCAATGAATGGTGTCATAGAGACAGGAAGTAGAAAGATGGTTACCAGGGGCTGGAGGAGGGGGAAGGGGGGTTTCTGTTTATAGGGAATAGAGTTTCAGCTTAAGAAGATGACAGATTTCTGGAGACGGACTGTGGCGATGGCTGCGCAACAGTGCACACTCACAAATGGGTAAGATGGTACATTTTATGTTAGATATATTTTATAACAATTAAAATTTAAAAACAAAAATTTTAAAAATCAGTGGATGATAGACAATCAAATGAAATGATCTGGTGTCAGGGTTGTCAGAGCATGGAGTCTTAGATTCAAAACAGCACAAATTCTCTGCAGCTGTCCATCAGAAGCTACAATGTATGTCCTCAGATCCCAAATCTGAGCTGGACTAGGCCTCAGTTAGACCAGCAGAACAAAGCAGAGGGGACACTTTGATACCCAAGCCTAAGCCTAGGAAGGCCTTGTCAGTTTGCACTCTCACCCAGGGGAACTCTTCAGCAACCATGCAGCTCACTGCATACATGTGGCCCCAGCGGAAAATGGGAGAGAGGTTATCTCGAGCAGCTGGTTCCCATTAGCTATCTGGTAACAGGTCCATGGAAAGGCCAGCAGAAGAACAGTCTGGCTGAGCCCTGCCCAGACCACTGGCCCAGAGAGTCAGGAGCAAAGAAACGAACGTTTCAAGCCACGAAGCAGAGGGGTGTCTGTCATGCATCAAAGATTTCAAATGATGAAGGGCCACTAGCCCTGCAGCTGGAGGTCAGGGCCGCCCTGCCATGGCTAACCCGCCTCCTGCAAGCAGCTCTCCAAAGAAGTTCTCATGAGTCTTTAAGTCCTAAGGAAGAGTGTGACGACTCAGGGAGGCAGGCACTTGACTTTTGCCTGGGAAGAGGTGAATGTGGAATGCTGCCTGGTAAGGACAGGGTTGGGGTGTGATCCTTTGCTCCTTGGAACACTTTCTGTTACCCCTACAAAGTACTGACTTTAAACCACATAAGTTTTATTTTGAGAACTCAAACAGAACAGGTGAGGACATAGCCAGCCTACCAATTCATGAAATAAGCTGGTTCTCTCATTGGAAGGGAACATGAAATGGAATTCTGAGCCACAAAGACTATACCTTTTACTGAAAAGATACAAGTTAAAATGGGCAAAACAAATCGATGTGATTCTACCAAGCCTTCTTGATTTATGCAGGTTCCCAGGAGACCTGGATGCCATCTGTGACAATTAACACCAGCACAAGTGTAACCCATGCTGGATTATGTCAGCACACTTTGTTCTAGAGACCTTTTCCAGGCACCTGTTCCCACACTAAGCCTCATTCACAGCAGCTGCCCCAGGCGCTGCCCCCTCCTTGTCCCAGAACGTCATCTGCATTGTGTTAGTAACAGAAGAAACAGCCCAACCCACAAAGGGCTGACTTGCGAACATTTAGCAAGCTAAATTCTTTTTTTTTTTTTTTTTTAGGAATTCTTCCTTTTTCTCTCTCTCTTTTTTTCTCATTTATTTATATTAGTTGGAGGCTAATTACTTTACAATATTGTAGTGGTTTTTGCCATACATTGATATGAATCAGCCACGGATTTACATGTGTTCCCCATCCTGAAACCCCCTCCCACCTCCCTCCCCATCCCTCTGGGTCATCATCGTGCATCAGCCCTGAGCACTTGTCTCATGCATCCAACCTGGACTGGCGATCTGTTTCACAATTCATGATATACATGTTTCAATGCTCTTCTCTCAGATCACCCCACCCTCGCCTTCTCCCACAGAGTTCAAAAGTCGGTTCTATACATCTGTGTCTCTCTGTCTTACATAGAGGGTTATCGTTATCATCTTTCTAAATTCCATATATATGCGTTAGTATACTGTATTGGTGTTTATCTTTCTGGCTTACTTCACTCTGTATAATAGGCTCCAGTTTCATCCATCTTATTAGAACTGATTCAAATGTATTCTTTTTAATGGCTGAGTAATATTCCATGGTGTATATTTACCACAGCTTCCTTATCCATTCGTCTGCTGATGGGCATCTAGGTTGCTTCCATGTCCTGGCTATTATAAACAGTGCTGCGATGAACATTGGGGTGCACCTGTCTCTTTCAGTTCTGGTTTCCTCGGTGTGTATGCCCAGCAGTGAGATTGCTGGGTCATATGGCAGTTCCATTTCCAGTTTTTTAAGGAATCTCCACACTGTTCTCCATAGTGGCTGTACTAGTTTGCATTCCCACCAACAGTGTAAGTGGGTTCCCTTTTCTCCACACCCTCTCCAGCATTTTTTGATTGTAGATTTTTGGATAGCAGCCATTCTGACTGGCGTGAGATGGCACCTCATTGTGGTTTTGATTTGTATTTCTCTAATAATGAGTGATGTTGAGCATCTCTTCATGTGTTTGTTAGCCATCTGTATGTCTTCTTTGGAGAAATATGTGTTTAATTCTTTGGCCATTTTTTGATTGGGTCATTTATTTTTCTGGAATTGAGCTGCAGGAGTTGCTTAACAAACTAAATTCTTATGAGAGCAGATATCCTCAGGAGAGCACAATGCACGTAGGGCTCGGGGCATTTTAACTAATCCGATTTCTATGTCTATCACTGAGACATCATGAAACCTATGGCCCAGTCCTGGAACATCTGTGCTGCCTTCTGTGCCCTGTCCACTCCAACCTGCAGACTGCCCATCTGCCTGTTACTAGACGTCATCTACAGGATTCGTGCTTCTCAGGTCCCCATCTGGGGGACCCACAGAAAAGCATCAGTGGTGCCCTGATGAATGTCAATGTGGTGACATACTTTCCACCCACCTCCAACTACCTCTGCCCTGTTACTGGACCAGGGATTTGTTGTCGGACTTCAGAGCTCTGAAATTGCAATTCCAGGGTGCTCCTCCATATCCCTGGCTCCCTCCCACCCACCCTCAGACACCCCTTAACCAGTGTCCATATCCTGAAGGACTCAGCTTCCAGGCAGAACTCTGTTGCTCACCCTGCCCTCTGTTTAGACTTAGGTTATTCATCTGCCTCAGAAATTAAAAAAATAAAAAATAAAAAGACACACAGGATGCAGATGTTTGTATCTTTATTTTTAGGACGTTTAGGACCCAACGTTCTGGTTCCCTGAAGGCAGGAGTCTGTGCTGGCCGAATGAACATGTTCATCTGCATTAATGCTAAGTATTCTCAAAAGCCACCTCCTAACTCCCACATAAGAGTCACCTTAGCTTTCACAGGCTTCCTCATCCCAGCAGCATCGCATCACTTGGGGCAGTCATTGTTGGTTACAGTGCCACCTATGGGCAAGGACGCCAGCTCTCTGGATCCAGACAGGCCCTTGTCAAGTCCGTCATTTGTTCTTAGACACAGACCCCCACGTCAGAGCCTCTCAGACTTGAGTCACTTGCAGACCCTCTCATTGCTTCATCCCACTCTGACCCACCCTTCCTACAGCCCTGTGGAGGCCATTTCTACTGGGATAAACAACTGCAGGGACAAGAACAAGCCCCTTCAAGTATCGTGCTTGAAAGCCCTGATCTGACCTCAAGCCTAAGCCCTAGTCCAGGCACTGAGCTATTATAGTCACCTCCATCATGGAAAGGATCCTCCAACACACAGCAGCAAAAGTTCTAGAATTCAGAGAATCCTGGTCTTTTTCCTTGGATTTGAGACACCTACCTTTTTGTCATTTTGGTACTTATTAATGCACTTGTTCTGGGACAACTAGGGAGAATGGAGAAATGGATCAAACAAGAGAAGCTTGATACTCTTAAGCAACTTCGGCCACAGTAACACTGATAACAATGAATGAATGACTGGACACCAGCATTCAGGAACCCAGGTTGAGTTGTCCGTGAGTATCCACTGGCTATTTCAACTTCACAAGGTACAAAGAACAGTCTCTCCCTCCTCTCTTCCACTCAGGACTCTCTGCCTTAGAGCTGACTCTTCCAGGCCATTCTGATGGATCTGCACTCTGCCCCCACATCCACCCAACTTGCTGCCTCTGTTGCCCTTCTGATTTCATTTTAATAAAAGCTGCTCTTATTCCACCCCCACCAAAAGCTTCCCTTAAGGCTTTGTCATATGGACCCTTGTGCCACCAACCCCCTCACTTTAAATCCATCACCAAACCTAGCACCTAACCTAGCACAGGCCCCGCCCCACCTCCTATCCTTTCCTACCAGCAGAGGGTGCATCTGACCTCCCAAGTGCTGAAAGGAGAATACCTAATCACATCACTTTTTATAAAAGATAAACAAATCTAAATTTAATCCAACTTACCCTTGTTTCCCAGGAGAAAGGGGCAGAGTGCTCATCTTGCCAAGTTATGTCCTGAAATAAAAATTCAAGAATAAATCTGAAATCCAAACCCAAACATACCCTGTGCAAACAACCACCCAAGGCCATGGGGGAACCAAAATTTAGGAAGAATCCCAACTCCTGGCTCTGAACAAGCCTGACATCATCACACACTGCAGAGAATATGTTGATCTTCTGGGTCTGGCTTCCCCTCACTCTGCGGACCGAGGCTGCCAGGCATGCCTGTCCCCTGCCAAGCAAATATTAGATGGATGCCTGGGAATTCCAGGACAAACTTGGTGACAGGGAAGCTGAACGGAAAGGGAACAGGGTTTCTGGGCTCAGGTCTCAGCCCTACCAGCAATTAGCCATGTGGCCAGGAGATGATGACTTAGCCTTTTGAGCCTCAGTTTCCCCATCTGTAAAAGGAGAATCACACTTGCCTTGCAGGGTTGTTGTGAGGATTAAATGAGGTCACATATGAAAGGAATGCTTTCAAACACATTGGAAAAGACCTTGATACTGAGAAAGATTGAGGGCAGGAGGAGAAGGGGACAACAGAGGATGAGAAGGTTGGATGGCATCATTGACTCAATGGACATGATTTTCAGCAAATTCTGGGAGAGGTGAAGGACAGGGAAGCCTGGCCTGCTGCAGTCCCTGAGGTCTCAAAGAGCCAGACACAACTTTGTAACTGAACAACAGTGAAAAGAATGTCAGAAAATTATTTGCAGTCAACACCAGTACCCAATTTTTAAATGGAACCCCACTCCCAATCCTAATAAGTGCCTCCCAGAAATCTCAAAGGCAATGATCAGCAAATCAATGAAGAAAATGCAATTATAATGAAAACTCAGAATCATTCTGACCCTCACAAGCAGAACAGGATAAAAGGAGCCCTTTAAAATAGTCACGAGATTTGACCTTGGGTCCACCAGCCTAAATAAAAGCTTGTAAAAATCTCCTTCCCTTGGCTACTTCTCCACCCTTCCACCTGTATTCCTATACTAGCAAATGTCTCATCTGGGCCCAGCTTCTACTGGGGATCATATTTTCTGAACCAAAAACTGGGATATCTTGGGCGATCCAGATTGAAAATGGGATTAAGTACTTGAATTGAGACTGTTCTTGCATAAAGCACCCCAGGGACATGGCGTCTTCCCACCCAGAAGCACTCCTTGCCCCTAGAGGTAGGTCACCTGGCTCCCCCTCCTCCAGGAGGTGGCCCAGTTCTGCAAAGGGCCCACTTTTTTTAGTACAAACTCCATTCCCAGCCTCAGTCTCTAAGCTATGTCTTCTATCACTCCTGACTCTCAGGCAAAACTAAAAACATGAGGCAACATGGGCCAACTGTGTCCCCACTGTGCAGTTAAGCCCATGTTTATGCTATAATTTACAAACTGTGTCCCTCCAAAAGTAGAAATGTGAGTTAACAAGTCTCAGCTAAGGGGGCCCTCAGTCCAGGTGTGTGTGGTCAGGAAGTGGGAGAAAAGTGTAGTTGAGCTAAATGACCTGAAAGTCCTCAAAATTCTATGATCTCAGGACCCTCTAAGTTCCTCATAGAAGCAATACAACAAGAAAGACTTTGTCAGATGGGAAAAATAAAGGAGGCTGATGGGATGTAAGTCCCCTTTATTCTAGATTTGGACCAGTGAAAAAAGGACAAAGGGAAACCAATGGCAAATGTGTTCCCTCTGTCCTGGTGACAGACAACCCAGTGGCCACCTCAGGGGACAGAGGAGGTGCGCGGAGATTCATTGGGCAAGCAGAGACAGACAGGGAGCAGGATCACTGACTAAAAGCAGGACACATCCCTTCTCATGTGATACGATCAATCCTCTGAATATTAATTATGCAGCTTGAGTCCCTTTGAAATCTGCAAAGAACACAGTAAGAAGGTTTGGGAGTTTGGAAGGTGAATGAGTGCAAGACTCTTAGGAACAACCTTCTTTTCTATTTTTCCAGCTTTTTTCTACAGTAATCCTGGCCTATCTTCTTCCCTACCAATATACATATACAAGTTATAAATGTATTCCTCCTTAGGTAATTTTGTTAATGAAAGAAAAAATGAAGATGAAAAAACAATATTACATGAAATAAACAAAAAATCGAACAAGACTATCAGAGGGAACCAATGAAATACACTCTATAACAATGCTTCATTTAAGCTATATTTGATCATTCTTGTACTTACTGTATACTTTTAAAAGAATTATTCCTCATAATTCCTTGGTGAAGAATTTGGGAAACAGTAAATATATTTTATAAAATCTGATAAACAAACATGAAAGGAAAGTTTTATTGGTAGTCATCTCTGGTTGAAATGGATAAGATGTCTAAAATTTGTATATGTACTCATGGAGTAATAAAGAATTAGTCATTGTTTAAAAAAAGAAAAAGACTCTTAGGAGCAAAGACATAGCCTGGAGCATGGTAAGCCAGCAGGCTCCAGTGACTGAAGCCCATGTTGGCTGAAATTCCAAAAGGGCTGCAGACAGAGGGGCACCCTGTGATTTCTCCATAACCTGATGTCAAGTCAATAATCTTTTGTTTGCTCCAGCAAGAAGCTGAGTCAAGGGGCAAATTCCTTAGATTTCTGCAGTTCCAAGCTCATAAAAAAATAATAAAGCACTCAACAAAAATAAACACGCCAAACCAAACCGCGATTGAAGCTCTGATGTCAGCCATTGCCCAGCTGCAGACTCAGGCCACTAACAGCCCTGGCAGCCAGCGCAGGCTCTCCAGGCCACGGGATGCAAACCGGCATCAGAACTGCAAGGTTCTAGAAATGGACAGTGGTGGTGGCAGCTGTACAACACTGGGAATGTCGTGACTGTACGCCTAAAAAATGGTGAGAATGGTCAATGTTATGTCATGAGTATGTTACCACAATTCAAAAACCTGAATGTATTATATGACTCGAACTACACGACATTCTGGGAAAGGTAACATTATAGAGACAGGAAGATCAGTGGTTGCCAGGGTTAAATGGAAGGAGGGATGAGAAGGCAGAGGATTTTTAGGACAGTGAAACTACTCTGTACATACTGTAATGACGGATACTTTTCTCAAAACTCAGAATGTGCAGCAGCAAGAGTAAACTGCAGTGCAAACTATGGACTTAGGGCAATAATGGTATGTAGGTTCATCCACTGTGACAAATGTCCCGCTCTGGTGGGCCACATTGGTATTGGAAGAGGCTGCACGTGTGTGACGGTAGGGAGTATGTCAGAAATCTATACTTTCTACTCACTTTTGCTGGGAACCTTACATTGCTCTGAAAATAATTTTTCAAAATAAAAGCGACCCCTCCCCACTCCAAAAAAAAACCCAAAAACCTGACAAGGGAAACAAACACTAAAAACATCATTTCCTAATTACTTTAGTCTGTCTTGCTATCATCTATGCTCCTCACGTTACTTATATCTATTGAACCTGCAAGATAGAAAGTGCATCTGTAACAACACACAGTGGGGTCGCTGCACCTCCCTGACTGGCTCTGATTCCGTGAGCCACCTTGGGGCTTGGACAGAACCGAGGGGAGCATCTCCATGGCAACCAGCGGGTGCTCCACAGCAGGGCTGCTCCCCTCGCTGCCCTGATGCCAGATGCTGAACATTTCCCAACATACCACAAGCTGCAACCAATACCAGACACCCTGAAATCCACTCCATTCTACACTAAACGCAATTTTCACTATTGAAATTTTTAAGGATTTTGGTCATCTTGCCTTTGAAATTATTTGGCGACAGTAACTCACAGAGAATCAGTTGGTTTATCTGTAAAAGTCATGACTATTCCCAAACTATTCTAAAGTGAGAAATTCTGGACTTAAAGTTCATTTCAAAGGTGAAATGTTATAAATATTAGCCTCTCCTCTATGACTGGATACTAATGAGTCATTTCTTCTTTTATAACTTCCTTCCCAACTTCAGAGCCAGTGAACTTCATTTGGTCTCCAGTGTGGGGGGCAGCACCTGTGGATGGCAATGTCCACAGTGGATGACCATCGGCCGGGCCCACAGGCCAGCTGAGGAAGCGGGGCCAGGAGCACGGGCATTACAGAGCAACTCTGAGCTTCCCCTCCACAAAACCAGGTCACTAGCAGCCAGCAGACAGGGAGAGGTACCTTTCCTACAACAGTCAAAAGAAGTGCTTCAGAGACCCCTGAAGCACTCTGAGAGTCTTGTTTCCTCTCCAGGCCTCACTGAGGGACAGGCTGGGGACCACTCTGCAACCTGAAAAAAACTGCACCTTTCTGCAGATGCCCTCTCTCTGGCACAACTGTCCCAGGTAGCCTGAGGGGATGGCCACTTCCTAGGTCCTTACTGGTCTTGGGTCCAGGCTTGTGCCATTCATAGACACCAGATTCAAGGCTCTCTAAAGAGCACTCTTAGCTTAAAGGTTTCAGACCTAGCTGTAAATCAGAATCACCTCAGTTCAGTTCAGTTCAGTTGTTCAGTCGTGTCCAACTCTTTGTGACCCCATGAACCACAGCACGCCAGGCCTCCCTATCCATCACCAACTCCCGGAGTTTACTCAGACTCATGTCCATTGAGTCGGTGATGCCATCCAACCATCTCATCCTCTGTTGTCCCCTTCTCCTCCTGCCCCCAATCCCTCCAAGCATCAGGGTCTTTTCCAATGAGTCAGCTCTTCGCATCAGGTGGTCAAAGTACTGGACTTTCAGCTTCAGCATCAGTCCTTCCAATGAACACCCAGGACTGATCTCCTTTAGAATGGACTGGTTGGAACTTCTTGCAGTCCAAGGGACTCTCAAGAGTCTTCTCCAACACCACAGTTCAAAAGCATCAATTTTTCGGCACTCAGCTTTCTTCACAGTCCAACTCTCACATCCATACATGACCACTGGAAAAACCATAGCCTTGACCAGACGGACCTTTGTTGGCAAAGTAATGTCTCTGCTTTTTAATATGCTGTCTAGATTGGTCATAACTTTCCTTCCAAGAAGTAAGTGTCTTTTAATTTCATGGCTGCAATCACCATCTGCAGTGATTTTGGAGCCCAGAAAA